TCAGAACACAGAATAAAAAACATTTAAAATATGCAAAAAATGGAACAGGGAAATTGATATTGAAGAGAATCTTAAACAGATGAGTTGTGAATTGAAATGGAGAAGTGAGTCTAAGTTTTTCTAAGTTAGGGTCGTAGACAGTCCCAGAGGTGGGCGGCAGAGTGGCTCAATGCTTTGCTCCCAGTGGTGGGGAGACGGGCGGAAGGGACAGACAGATGTAAAGCAGATGAGGATCTAAGAGCGCAGGAGGGGGTTTATTTTTTTGTTTTTCTTATCCTGTAAATGCACTATTTTGTGTTTGTTTAATTGTTTGTTTGGCTCATGCAATTTAATGCTGCTTATTTGATTTGTTAAAGATCAGTTCCTTATCAATATCTTAAAATTTAGAAAAGTTGAATGAGAGACACTAAACTCAACAGAACATTTCAATATGAGCAAGAGGATTTTGACAGAGTAAAACATGTTCTACTGCATGTATTATATAGAAAGTATTTCTTACTGTTTTCTGATGGGACTGAAAATCAAATAAAACATTTGGTCACAATCAAAAGAGAAACACAACAGTCTAACAGTGGTGTGATTTAAAGCAAACCTAACATTACTGGGCTAAATCCCAACAACATATAACCTCACAAAACATTTTAGTACAAACTCTACCTGCAGCTCCTCTCCTCGGTTCAGAATAAACAGCCTGTTCTTCTATATCATGATGCCTCTCTGTTAGAAAATAGAAGTGAAGATTAAATATTATGCTTTCAGATTCAGTGGTGAAATTCCATTGAAACTGGTAAATTGTGTAGGACACTGTCTGTTAGGGAGAAACTTACCCTTCGGTTTGATGCTTTTGACCAGAATATGAGAGTATGTGATATCATTGGATTCTGTTGCATCTGAGTTGACAGAGTTGTCACTATGGAGGTCTGTGGGAAATCAACTTCATTAAGCATTACCAATTCTAAAGGTTGAAAGCTTGGCATGACTTTGACTTACGAAATGCTTGATTAAAGGCTTAAATATTTTTTTATGATTTTTTCAAAATCTTCCAGGGCTGTTTAGAAGGTAGTCCAACTTCTAATTTTGGTTCAAGTTGCTTTGGTTGTTATTTATTAAGTTTAAACACTGACCATGGAGAGGAAAGGTGTTTTCATTGGTTTCAGTCTCAATGTTTGGTTGATCAGCGAAGGAGCTGTGATCAGTGCTCTCTGACTGGGTTACCCTAAAACAAAGACTCAGTTTGATAGAGCAAGTAAAGTGACAAAATGTTAGAACAAGAAGAAATATAAAAAATGTGTTCTGACCTCTGGTGACAGGGATCTAAAAAAAGGTTGGAAATAACAATAGTTTGTTACAAAGTTCTTTATTGTGCTACTTTTTATCACAATCATCTGTTTGTTTGGCTTCATAAAGAACATGAAACATCTAATATATTTTAGCAGAAGAAAGTCTCACCTGTTGACTTCCTAAAACAAAGCAACAGTAGCAGCAGAGTAATAAATATGGATCCACAAACTGCTCCAAGGACCAACACCAAAGAAAGTGAAGAACTTTCAGATCTGGATGCATCTAACATTAAAAAAAAAATACATTGAGTACAGCTAAACTTTAAAGTAGCACTGTGTAGCCTTTGGCCACTGGTGGCTCTAGACTTTCAACTTACAGTTTAGCAACTGTGAAAGCAACTAGCAAAACTACCATGTCATTTTTTCTTATTTATTCATTTTATCGAAATTTTAATAAAGTAATGTTAAAATGTGTCAATATGAAGTAAGC